TCAAAACCTGTTCATTAACTCCTTCCCATTTTTCAATCTGCATTAGCAACTCCTTTTCTTTAGCTATTAATTGACTGTTGAATGGGTCTTCATCAATTTCTCCTTGAACATTCTTCAACTGTTCGCTGATCTGGCTAATCTTTTTCTCTAATGAAGTCATTTCTTTATTCATGTGCTTTGTCTTATCCTTTAACCTTTGCAATTTCTTCCAAATTGAGAACATAGTGTATCCCTAAATGCTTTGCTTTCCTACCTCATTAACAGCTTCTTCAAACTCCTTCTGATTGAGCAGCACATTATATAATCTGAATGGTTTTGGCAAATAATTTCTAGTAACCTCAGTGTTGATAATGATAGGAGAATGATCCGAGACTCCTGACAATTTAAAACTGCTTGAAGACTACTATAGTGAGTTAGCCAAGAAGCATTCCCAAATGCCCAGTTAATATTACTGTATATTCTATCTTCTGCATCTCTTTTATTACACCATGACCACTGACACCCTTTTCTGCTCAATTGCCCCAGTTCAATATCCCTTAAACATTCTTGAAATTCCACCATTTCAGCTTGATGTACTGGTTGACCATTGAGTCAATCATGAATAGATAAAACATTGTTAAAGTCTCCAATAACTATCCAAGCCTCCTAATAGTGCTATGAATTTGTCTTAGTTTCTCCCATAATTCCCTTCTTTAAATGAGGTTGTTCTTCCCATAAACAAATGTGATGTAGCCTGAGAAGCTTGATCCCTTATCCTTCACTTGGCAATGTAACAATTGAGTAGTAGCACCAATAATATGTACCTGTACCATACTGTCCTTCCAAAATAGCCAGATTCTCCCATTGTTTGTTATAGCTTCATCTGAATGCACTTTCCAGTCCTTATGAAACTTCCTTTTCACTTTATTAATACTTCTAGGTTTCATTCTTCTCTCAAGGCATCCTAGTAAATATATTATGTATTTAAGCAAAAGGCATTGAGTTCCTTTTTGCTTATAGGGCTTATTTAGCCCCCTTATGTTCCAAGAGCTAAAGAACATGGTGGATTCTCCTCATTGAGGCTAATCCCTTCAATCACCCTTCCAGTGCTGCTAGCCTCTTGTATTGACAGTGGACTATATGTATTTCTGTTCATCATATTCACAAATTCTTTCTCAGTTAATGCTCCCATCTGCTGTGTAATTTCTTTAGCTTTCATCTTTTGTTTTCCTCTGGACTTCTAAACTGGTTGCATCTCCATTTCCTGATTAATCATTTTCTCTGGATTGACCTGTTATTCCTGTACTAGCTTAAGAATCTGCTCCTTCTATATTGCTGGTTGCTCACTCAGTCAACCATCCTCTTGTTCCTGTATTTGTTCCTTCTGCATTGGAACTTGCTCAGCAACAGGCTTTTCCCTCCATTGCTTTTTGATCTGATTCTTAAACTCTTTCCCCTACTGTAACGACCCGACTGGTCGTTTTGTGCAATTTCATTTGGTTTAGCAATTTGAGGTCACGAGCAACTTCATATTATATTTATCGACTTGTGTGTACGGTTGGATTCAGTTTTCGGATGAAATGGAGTCGAATTGGAAGGAGGAATCTAGTTTTGGATGCTTAAGCGGTGGGAATTTGACCGAAATTTGATTTTTAACTAACCGGCCTCGGAATGGTTTGTGGGTGGTCTCATAGATTCATATGGTGATTTTGGACTTAGGAACACGTTCGAATTTGGAGTTGGAGGCCCGTAGGGTAATTTGAGGCATTTTGGCAAAAGTTGGAAAAGTTGAAGTTTGGAAAATGGAGAAGTTTGACCTATAGTTGACCTTTATATTATCGAGGTTGGAATGCGATTCTGAAAGTTGAAGCAGCTCTGTTATGTTATTTGAGACTTGCCTACAAAATTTGGTGTCGTTTGGAGTTGATTTGGTATGGTTCGGGCGCTTGGTTGCAATTCTAGAAGTTCTTGAAGTTCATAGTGATTTTCATGCGTTTTGGCATCCGATTCATGGTTTTAGAAGTTATATTAATAATTTGAGTACGCGAGAAAGTTCGTGAGGTATTTTTAGACTTGTGTGCATATTTGGGTTGGAGCCCTGAGGGCTCGGGTGAGTTCCGGGTTGGTTTTGGAATAACTTTTCATAGTCTTTCATTTCTGGTACTGGTGTCATTGCATTTGCGATATTTATGTCACAAATGCAACTATCGCAATTGCGAAGCAGCCTCGTATTTCGAAGCTGGGCTGCTAAGGGATGGACTCACATTTGCAAGGAAATCGCTGCTTTTGCGAGGCCTGTTGAGTTCGCATTTGCGGACTCAGCATCGCATTTGCGATAAAGGCCGGAATTAAGTTAGTTCGCATTTGGGATGGCCTTGCTTTGCATTTGCGAAGTGTTTAATCGCCATTGTGATGGAGACATGATTCTTCAGGTTTCGCATTTGCGATGTATTCTTCGCTTTTGCGAACACAGTGTTGTAGATACCCAATTTTTTCCTATATACTTTAAATATGCATAAATACCTTCAAAATAGCATATATATATATATATAAGCNTATTCATTTAATTTCTATACTTATGCCAAAATATGGCTAATATATTTTTCATGCATTTTTATAATTACATTTATTATTTTTAAGCTAAATTGCATATAATTGCAATATTATCCCATTTTAAGGTATAATTATATTTTAAATGCATAAAATTGGTTCCTATATTTTTAATATTATAATTATGTATTTTAAATTATTTTGCCACATTAAATTATTTTTCAGAAATTACCTATTATTTATTATAAATTAAACTAGGAATAACTGGCTATTTGAATCATAGCCAGATTTGGCTTTCCATTTTAGCCTAATTCGGACCCCTCCTCAGCCCAATCTCCTATTAAATAACCCGACCTAAGACCCAAACACTTCCTACCCGACCCAAACCCATCAAATCTTGGCATTGATCTAAAAGATCAACGACCCTCCTTTATTCTTTCCTTTTTAATTCTAAAAGACCTCTAACCCTAATCACTTTTCTAAATCCGCCACCTTCAAATCCTCTCATCTTCTCTCTTCTCTCAACCTAACCCTAGACTCTGTCAATCACCTCCCTTCTCCGGTCATCTCCGGTGACCAACTTTCAACCCCAAGCCCCCAATGGTTTCCCATTCGCCTTGCTCATCAGCTCTAAGGCCTTCAAGGGTCCTGAGCCATGTCGATTTGGATCTAGGGTTTCTGTTTCTGTTACTCATGGCTTTTACGGTGTGATTTTGGGCAAAATCACACCTTATATGTTACGACCGGTGAAGTTTACAACAGGTTCTGTCGTTTCTATCTGGGTTCCCATTGAAACCCTAACTCTCGTTTGAATCTCTTAGATCTGTGTTAATTTTAACGCTTTAAGTCTGTTTCTTCCTATTATTTGCACTATTCTCGAACTTCATCTGAAAGATCCTCAACTTTAAACCATTTTTACTTTCTTTAAATAATTAGGGTTTTCTCAGAGTTCTTTCTACATTGTTTTTAACTGATTTTCTTTATGATTAAACCTCTTTCCTTGCTTATTTTGATCGATCTTATGTTCTTACTGCTTTTAATTCGCCTATGTCGAAAGCCCTAATTTCTAAGATTTTCTTTGCTTTGGTTCTGTGTGTTAGCCTGTTTACTTGATTCTTGTTAATCTTTCATGGTTACCATGCTTCGAATGTGTTTTACTGAATCCTTAGCCTACTTATGTCACTTCTATATGACTATGATCGTTTTGTTTGTTCCTCTCTTGCTTCTTTCTGTCACTATGGCTAACCTTGCCTGTTTGCTACGTCTGTTTGATCTTCTCTATTTATATGTTGAAAATACAGAATCATGACTCCCTCTTGATTGATTCTGATTTCCTTAATTGATGGTTTAATTGAAAGATTTTCTTTTAAAAGCCCTAAAAGCTTTACCCCGTCTCTTTAAACTGACTGATTTCTTTACTATATTTGCTATGATATTTTATTTCTACTGATTCGTGTCCTTAATTAAGGTTTTATGAATTTAGTCCTAATTGACTACTCTATGCTTACTGAACCTTGACTCCTTCCTTATTTAGTCATGCACTGATTTTTCTTCTTGCCTTATATGATACTGAATCTTCCCGTTTGATTTGATTCCCTTAACTTTAAGGGAGTACTTCCTTGATTCCCTAATTGATTGATTCTGAGTTCTTCAATTATTATGCTACTATGATTCTTACCTTATTTCACTACCTATTTTTCAACTACAAATACTCTATGTCTTTCATTAACACATGGACGAACATTTTGGTTTTCAAAAACTACCTCTCTTACTAAAAATCTCTGCTCTCCCCTCTCTCTTGTGCTATTTGCTGCTATTAGCCGGCTGCAAGCCAAGGCTAATCATCTGTGCTCTCTTGTTCTTTTATTCTGCTTACTTCTCTCACTACTAGAAAATAGGCCTATGGCAACGCAGGGAAAACCATTGCAACAGCCACATAAACCGTTACAGTATGTATATGGCAACGGCTTGGTGACCGTTCCATCAGGTCGCGTGCCAATAGCTCGTAAGCAACGGTTCTTGTAACGGTTGTTATAACCGTTGCTATAGTACCATCTATCGCAACGGGTATTCCTCTTTCTGATGCAACGAGTATTTGTATTCTACTGTAACGGTTCAAAATTGTTGCCATTTGATTTAATGCAACGGTTATGTAAGCTATGGCAATGTCTATTTAAAGGAACTACAACGGTTTTCTTTTTCCCTATTGCTACAGTTTCTTACAATCGAGCAAAAACTATTGGAACGGTTTTCATGACCTATTGCGTTGGTTTAATATCCTATCAGAATGGTTTTCATGATCTATTGCAACAATTTACATTATATACTTTAATATCCTATCAGAATGGTTTTCATGATCTATTGCAACAATTTACATTATATACTGAAACACATCTTGTGGCCTATTGCAACGGTTTTGATAGGCTAATGTAACAGCTTAATTGAAACAATATACACTAGAATTTATATAATTCTCAAAATGAAACTATTCATTACCATTCACAATCCAAATTAATTGTCCAACAAGCTATATAGAATATCCATAAAACCAAAATACGCCTCTAACCCAAGCTGCATAGATTTTACAAAAGTTTCCAAAATGTTTGCTAACAAAAGATTCCTAGAACATCTAGAGTTTCAGCAATAATTTAAAAACCTTCTTAAGTAAAGTCTAGAACTTCATCGCTTTCGACTTTCTTTTCATCATTTCTCCACCTACAAAAAAGGATAAATAAAGTCATTACCTTCCAACGCTAGTTGACAATTCAAGCAAGCATAAAAGGAAAAGACATAAAATGAGTGTTAAAGGGGAAAATCATAATGGCCTTTCCAGTTCCATCATAAATGACCCTGGCAGTTCAACGATTGTCCTCACAATTCATAAGCAGAAGACAATTATCACTAAAGCAAACCTTGTATAAGTCTCACTAGGTGAAAGCAGTAGATAAGTAAGCTCAACACCAGTCTAATGTCCTAAAAATGGACACTTTTTGTATTTCGTTGAATTGAGTTAAGTAGCTTGTGAACAAAGTGCATAACAGCTGCCCACTGTGGCTAGGATTCAGTAGCCACTTTTCCTGTACTTGGCTGCTCAATGAGAAACCGAATGAATGAGCCACTCGACAAGGCTAAATAAGTATGCCAGTAAAAATGTAATTGGTTAGATATTACTAGTTATGTTGCTGCCTGTATATCTTATATGTGTAAAATCCAATTCTGTTTAAATTCGATATAGCCAATATAAACCCTTCGTACACTAAAGTTACACTCAAAATATTAAAGCGATCATCAAGAGTAAAGTCAAACCGCTAATGTGTATAACATATTTATATACACTAAACTAAACAAGTTCAAAAAAGAATTAAGACTAACCAAAGAAAGGAAAAGTACGGCGAATCTAAGAAATTTTCCACAATTGAAATTGGATAATCTGTGAATATAAAAATATCATTAAAGTAAAGCAAAGTGTATATCTAAATAAGTAGCTTTCTCTAATCTCAGAGCATTTTGTTAAATTTTCCTTGAAAACAATCTGAAATGTGATGTAAATCTTCTGGAACTATTAACTTTGAGCATAGCTATTCAAAATGCTAAAAGTTTAAAACTCATAGGTCTCCAGACCTTACAAGTTCTCCGTTGGATCACTAATCAATAAACTATACAAGATAGTTGAGATGAAGATCTGTTTAAAACTCACAATAATAATGTCGACAAGGCAACACAAAAAGTTTTGCATCACAATAACAGAACTGACGAGGTAACCAAAGAACTATACATCAACAAAAATCCAAAAGAGAAGTGGTAAAAAGAACTATAATGACAAGACTATCAAGGCAAAGTGAAGAAAAGATCAAGATTATCAGAGAAAACCACACAGCTATGTGTGTGCATGAAGCGAGACCACTCAATTGCACGAGAGAGAGAACAAGAACTAAAAAATTTATGAACACGGATTAAGTGCAGTGGTAGAAGAAATAGCAGAAGGAAGGAGGAGAATAAGAAAGAGAAGAAGAGGTTTAACATTTTGAGTAAGTACTAACCAGATCGTTACTACCGGTAGATAGAAGATTGATTAGTTGAATAACAGCTTGTTCTGCAGAGTAAGTTTATCCAGGTGAACGAGCACTAAAAGCGAACATGTTAGGATCAATCCGTAATCCTGGGTTCAGACGCTGAAGTTGTGCGACGACGTTAATTGTAATTCTCTTTCCATAGCATCCTTTTGTGCATTGAGCTTTTCCTGCATTCTTTAATGAATCCTACATTCTATTTCTTCAATTTTTTGCTACATCATCTCATCAGTAGGAACTTAAAGAGAGTCCAATATCTCCCACTTTTGTAAGTCGGTCTTGGAAACCCCACATGCATATAATTTACGCGGCGTGGATGCTCGGGTCCTATGACTGATGCAAATGCATCAACTGATTGACCGACATCTTCACTTTGTTGTGTTGATTGTATCTTTTTCATTTCAGCCTACAGACCAAATTCAAGAGAAGATAGTTCAAGTATATAAAATTGAATCAATGATTAAGATCAAAGAAATGATATGGACATTCTTTAAATTAGAAACGTCATGCAATTTACTAAGTATATCTCCATATAAAGCCTTTCATACTCTGCCAATTGAACTGATACTACAACGATCAAAATAATGACTGTTTATATTAGTAGTAAAGGTACTTGATCATATAGAAAACTATTTGGACTGCTAAATTAAATATTAAAAGTTGGTTTTCCATATCAATATGAGATAACTTTTGTCAACCAACATATTTTCCCATCGCAGTTTATATCTATATGACAGTTTATACATAATTATTTTCTATTTGTGGTCTTAGTTTCTTTATTCAAGTCATGAATCTGTTAGTAACAGATAAGAGCTTACAATGGTAGAAAGCTCTTTTGTATGTTGTGATTTTTTTGAACTTTTGTCTCTACTGCTACTAATACTACTATTATTACTCTGCTTGTTTTTTTTTGGTATGTCAGTGTTTGGATGTGTACAAAACTTAAAAAATGAGCAATTATCATTGAAACAAGCTAGGGGCATATAAACCAAAAGTAGCCTTAGAATCTAGTGGTTTTCAATATATCTTGTTGCGCATCTTTCTCCAAAGAGTTATAAAAAAATATGTCATTAACGGCAAAGTGAGATGTTAAAATCAAAAAAAGTGTAAATCAAAATGTATTACTAAAGAAAAGAACATAAACCATATAAAAAGGAGAATACAGAGAATAATTATTGTTACTTTATGCATGGACCCCCTTAAATTTGTCCGAGTTTTCATCTAGAAACTTAATTTAAGCCTATGACCTATTGAACACCTGACCTATAATCAAACTGTGTCAACAAAACATAAGACGCTTGCATGGCAGATGACTCGTGTCTCACTAAAAATGGAGCTACAACAAACACTTTTGTCAAAAACATAAACTGGAAAAATGAAGAGAAATAGGACTTATTTAACCATTTGAACATTAGGACAAATAAACCTTGGGAAAAATAATTTACAATCTCAGAAAACAGAAAAGATCAATGAAGTAGTGATTACAAATACTAGTAGATTCCATGGATAATAAGAAGATAATGAAGAGTGGACCTTTTAGATCAATAGAGAGAGCGAGAGAGAGAGAGAGGGGAGAAGGAATTAACACTGGGCTTTTTCATTTATTTAATATAGAATGAAAATCATTTTTGTTTGTTAGTATGAAACGAGCAATTCAAACAATAATTCAGTCCTATTTGGCCTTTTTCCTTTTCTGTCTCCCATAGAAAATCCAGAAAGATCAATGACATTTAAGAACACTCTGACTGATCAATCAAAGTTTCAGGAGCAACAATTAGTAGCTGAATTTGGAATAAAATGATAGTTTTGAAGCATTTTAGAGTTTCTTGAGATCTATACACTATACGTATTGCACAGCCATCACCCCAAAAGAAATGCATCATGTCCAATTGCGAAAAGCACCGGCATCCACAAAATAGAAAATTTCCACATCGCTTTAACATTTTCTAGCTGTATTCTACTCTCTTATGTACATTCTTTTGTGTTTTGCTCCTTGTTACATCTTCTTCGACAATTTACTTAGTAAGTGTCATCACTCCAAAAGAAACTGAAGCTTAATACATAATCCTACATAACATTTGTTAGGAACCCTACAAGCAGGCCACTAATTTACAGCCAAATTAAATTATGACAATACGACTATCAATTAATCTACACCAAATTATAACAAACAATAATATGGAATCTAGTTAATTTCATTAGGCAAGTATATCAAATTGGTAATACAACTTTCAGTTTTAAGATACAGTGGCAAGACTAGATGCCCAAAAATCTTTGAGAATACCCAAAAAAAGGCCTAAAATACCGAAGAAGAAAAAGGAAACAACTTTTCACTTCTCTACCCTAAATGCTTGGATAACGCAAACACAAATTCATAAGTAAATTAAAATCGAGTAGGAGAAGCTGTAAAACTATCGCAAACACTAATTTACTACAGACAAAAAGTAACACATACTAAAAACGAGCAAATTGAAGAGTGCGTCGGAGAGCATAGTTGTAGAGGAAGAGGACAAAGCCTGGAAATTAAAGTTTGGGAGGAACGCTACTCTTGCAAAGGGACCACAAAATGCGAGAAGGATCAAAGAATTAGGAAGAAAAAATTTGGGAAGATAGTTATCTATTAGGGATGTTTCTTTGCCTAAGAGAAATTTTGTGGGTATAGTCCGTATAAATATTATCGATTAGGGATTTTTGCCTTTGAAAAATTTGGCTTGTGTGCTTTTTGGGAAAAGAGGAAAATTTAATATTTATATTACACTATTAAGGTTTGGCAGGTTTCAGAAAATTTTGGGAAAAAAGTAAGGAGTGTTATAAATATATTATGGATGTTCATTTAGTACTCCGTTGTAAATAAGCTACCTGAAGAAGCTTATCCATATGAGATTCCGCCGTAAATATGTTTATTTATTTAGTACTTTATTGAAAATAAGTTTCCTGAAGAAGCTTATCACTTCGGTACCCGGTTATGGATAAATATTACCCCCGGTAGAAGATTATCCATACCGGGTATAATAAGCTTATCCATTCAGTACTCCATTATGGATAAACACTGCTCTCAGTAGAAAATTATCCATATCTGGTACAGTAGCAGATTACACAACAACTTGTAGTAGCAGCTTACACGACAGCTTGTAGTAGCAGCTTACACGACAGCTTGTAGTAGCAGCTTACACAGCAGCTTGCGTAGCAGCTTACACAGCAGATTGCAGTAGCAGCTTACACAACAACTTTCTTTTTTCTATAAATAGAAGAGATTTCAGTTCATTATGTACATCAATTTGAATTCGAATAATATAACAGTTTCTCTATATACTTGTCTTTATTTTATAGTCTTTATTTTATAACACGTTATCAGCACGAGACTCTGCCATCTTGAGCAAATATTTTGAAAGTATCTGAGGTAAGAACTTTTCTTTTCCAAAATAATGTCAAATCTTTCTAAACTTGAATTTGTTGCCCTAGACATATCGGGCAAAAGCTACATGTCTTGGGTGCTTGATGCTGAAATTCATCTTGATGCGATGGGTCTGACAGACACCATCAAAGACAAAAATCAGACATCAAACCAAGATCGTGCCAAAGCAATGATATTCCTACACTATCACCTTGATGAGAGACTGAAAATGGAATATCTTACTGTTAAAGATCTAGTAAGATATGACCACTGTGGAATAATTTAAAAGATAGATATGACCACCTGAAGATGGTCGTTCTTCCACAAGCACGATATGCATGGACTCATCTAAAGCTATAAGATTTTAAATCTATAAGTGAGTATAATTATGTTATGTTCAGAATTATTTCCCATTTGAAATTATGTGGTGATAATATTACTGATCATGATATGTTGGAGAAAACTTTCACCACTTTTCATGCCTCGAATATGCTCCTACAGCAGCAATATCGAGAGATGTGATTTAAAAAGTATTCTGAACTTATCTCACATCTTCTTATAGCCGAGCAACATAATGGGTTATTAATGAAAACTATGAAAACCGACCTACTAGTTCTTGTCCATTCCCTGAAGTAAATGAGACGAACTTCCACCAAGCTAAACGTGGAAGAGGTCGTGGCCCTAGTCGTAGTCATGGCCGTGGTCGGAGAAGAAACCTCAATCATGGTAATAATAATGCACCAAAGAAGCCTCCTCACCACCAGCAATGGAAAAGGAAGGAACAAAAGCATGAAGCGGTGCAAGCACCAAATGTAGAAAATGCATGCTATAGATATGGAGGAAAAGGGCACTAGTCACGTACCTGTCGTACGGTAAAGCACCTGGTTGAGCTTTATCAAGCCTCCCTGAAAAAGACAGAGAAAAATGCTGAAGTAAATTTTATTTCTGAAGATAATTTAGACTTCATGCATTTGGATGTAGCTGATTACTTTGCACTCCCAGAAGGAGAAACAAGTCATGTAATCGGTAGTGAATCTGTAAAAATGTAAATATTTTAATTTTTGTCGTTTGTAATAGATAGTATGGTTATATAATTGTTGTACATAAATAAAAGTTATGCTTTGATAATGATGTTTACTATAATATATTTTATTTATGTCCTTTTGAAGAATATGGATAATTCTCAAATTATATTTGGATCAAAGACAAATCATGAAGATAATTGTATTATTGATAGTGGAACAACTCATGCCATATTCAAGTATCAGAAATACTTTTCTTATTTGCATAAGAAAAAAGCAAATGTTTCAGCAATTTCTGGTAATATAAGTTTGATTGAAGACCCCGGAAGAACCATTATATTTCTGTCTAAGGGAGCAAAACTTAATATAGACAATGCATTATTTTCCTTCAAGTCCCGAAGAAACTTGTTGAGTTTTATAGATATCCGCCGAAATGGGTATCATATTGAGACAATAGATGAAATGAAAAGGGAATATCTTTGTATTACAAAGAATATTTCTGGCCAGAAATGCATTGTAGAAAAGTTACCAACTTTATCTTCTGGCTTATACTATTCAAAAATTAGTACAGTTGAAGCACACTCTATCGTAAACCAGAAGTTTACGGATTCAAATACTTTTGTGCTTTGGCATAGCCGTTTGGGCCATCCTGGATCAATAATAATGAGACGAATTACTGAAAATTCGAGTGGGCATCCATTAAAGAACCTGAAGACTCTTACAAATGACGAATTTACTTGTGATGCTTGTTATCAAGGCAAAATGATCACTAGACCATCACCAATGAAGGTTGGCATTGAATCCCTTACCTTTTTAGAGCGTATACATGGGGATATATGTGGACCTATTCACCCACCAAGTCGGTTGTTCAGATATTTTATGGTCCTAATAGATGCATCTTCAAGATGGTCTCATGTGTGCCTATTATCATCTCGCAACCTAGCGTTTGCAAAGCTATTAGCCCAAATAATTTGATTAAGGGCACAATTCTCATATTATCCTATAAAGGCTATTCGCCTTGATAATACTGGAGAATTCTCATCTCAAGCTTTTGATGATTATTGTCTATCAGTTAGGATAAAAATTGAACATTCTATAGCTTATGTTCATACTCAAAATGGCCTTGCAGAGTCATTTATTAAACGCCTGCAATTGATAGCAAGACCACTACTTATGAAAACAACATTGCCCACTACTATTTGGAGCCATGCTATCTTGCATGCAGCATCACTTATACGTCTCAGACCGACACATTATAATAAATATTCTCCATCATAATTAATTTTGGTCATGAACCAAATATTGCTCATCTACGAATTTTCGGATGTGCTGTATATGTGCCAGTAGCACCACGACAGTGCAGTAAGATGGGACCACAGAGAAGGACAGGAATATATGTTGGGTTTGAATCACTGTCTATTATTCGTTATCTTGAACCATTGATAGGAGATTTATTTACTGCTCGATTTGCAGATTGTCTGTTTGATGAAACAAATTTCCCACAATTAGGGGGAGAGAAAAAGGAAATCAAAAGAGAAATTGCGTGGAAAGTTTCATCATTATCTCACTTTGATCCCCATACCCCTATATGTAATTAGGAGGTCCAGAAGATCATCTATTTACAGAATATAGCAAATCAAATGCCAGACGCATTTACTGATTTGAAAAGGATAACTAAGTCACATATCCCAGCAGAGAATGTGCCTATCCGAATTGATGTCCCAGCAGGACCATCTACTAGCATGGGAGCTAGTGAACCTAAAGCACGCCTGAAGCGTGGTAGGCCTTTGGGTTCTAAGGAATGAAATCCTTGAAAAAAAATCAACAAATGATCAAAACGATACTATGAAGGGATCTTCTAAAGAGACCCAAGATTTGATTAGTTCTGAGATTCCTGAAGAAATCAATGAACCCGAAGCTCATATGAGTGAAGAACTTTTAAAAGGTTCGACCGGTGATGGGATTAATTTAAATCGATCTGAAATAGTGGTGGATAATATTTTTGCATATAATGTTGAACTTAATATTATGCAAGATAGTGAGGATCTTGAACCTCAATCTATCGAAGAATGTCGACAAAGATCTGATTGGCCAAAATGGCAAGAGACAATTCAATCGGAATTAAAGTCACTTAAAAGAGAGGTTTTGGACCAGTAGTCCAAACACCTGCTGGTATAAAACCAGTTGGTCATAAATGGATTTTTGTGCAAAAAAGGAATGATAAAAATGAAGTTGAAAGATACAAAGCTCGCCTTGTTGCACAAGGATTCTCACAACGACCTGGAGTCGATTTTGATGAAACATATTCACCTGTTATGGATGCCATAACATTTCGATATCTCATCAGTTTAGCACTACATGAAAAGCTTGAAATACATCTAATGGATGTAGTTACAGCTTATCTGTACGGTTCACTTGATAATGAAATTTATATGAAAATTCCTGAAGGATTTAAAATGCCTGAAGCAAAATCTCAGGAAATGTATTCAATCAGATTACAAAGATCTTTGTACGGTTTAAAGCAATCTGGGCGCATGTGGTATAATCGCCTTAGTGAATATTTGCTGAAAGAAGGTTACATAACTGATGTTATTTGTCCATGTATTTTTATAAAGAAAATGACATCAAAATTTGTTATACTTGCTGTTTATGTTGATGACATAAATCTTGTTGGAACTCCAGAAGAGCTCCAAAAGGCAATTGAATATCTTAAGAAAGAATTTGAGATGAAGGATCTTAGAAAGACAAAACTTTGTCTTGGTCTGCAAATTGAGCATTTAGCAGACGGGATTTTTATCCATCAATCTGCCTATACAGAAAGGGTCTTAAAACGCTTTTACATGGACAAAGCGCACCATTGAGTACACCAATGGTTGTTCGATCACTTGAAGTGAATAAGGATTCGTTTCGACTTCCAGAAGAGGACGAGGAACTCCTTGGTCCCGAAGTACCTTATCTCAGTGCAATTGGTGCGCTAATGTATCTTGCTAATGCTACAAGGCCTAACATAGCATTTTCTGTTAATTTACTAGCAAGATATAGTTCTTCTCCTACACGGAGACATTGGAACAGGATTAAGCATATATTGCAATATTTAAAGGGAACTCTTGATATGGGTTTGTTTTATGCTAACAAAGATAGTGCAGATCTTGTTGTAATGCAGATGCAGGTTATTTATCTGATCCCCATAAAGCTAGATCTCAAACTGGGTACGTATTTACATATGGAGGTACTGTAATATCATGGCGCTCCACAAAGCAATCTATTGTTGCTACTTCTT